TAATTATCATATATTTGTAATTTATGTGCATTACCATTTTTTTTCTGTTAAAGTTCTACATCAAATACTTAAAAACTACAAAATATACGTTTTATAACGTTGTTCAAATATTTATAATTAACATTTTCATATATTTTAATATATTTCACAACTTAAGTGCATATTTAAACTATTTTATCCGTGTAATTTTAAAATAGTACATTTAATTGGTAAATATTTTTATACAGAAACATTTTAGAAGACATAGTCGGTAGAAAAAAATTGTAATTTATAAGTATATTTTATAAATACTTTTAACATGTTATCTTTTATTTTAATATGTTTTTATTTAATTTACATGATTTGGAATTAGTGCAAGGAAAATAATAAAAAATATTTACTATTTAGATTAAAAAAATACCAATTAAAATGTAATTTTATTTAATGGACAGTTAATGTATTCAAATATGAGTACTTATACAGCAGGATTATAATATTATTTGATTATTTGAATAAAAACTAAAAATGCATGATTTTTCCATAAAATGTTAATATTTTAAACTCAATTAAAATATATAATTGTGTACATCATTTTTGGTTAGGAATTAAATAGTAGTATAAATTATATTTAATAATTTAACCCATATTAAAAACCAAATTATTTTTAAAACGATTGACCTACTCGTTGGGTGTTTTATTACAAATCGAGGGTTATTGTATAGAAAGCGGAGCGAAGATGAAAGCCGAAACTACTAATAATTACTGTCGATTACATGAATATCAGAAGCGGAATTTATTACTGACCTTTTCTATGGAAATAAATTCTCGGGTGGAGTTCGTACAACATTTTTATGACTTGTGTTTTCCGATAGAATTTAGATGTGCCACATAATTTTACGAAAATTTACTTTTTAGATGTTTTTTTCTTATTAAATAAAAAGTAACATAAAAATATTCATTTATTAATTCATTAAAAAAAAAAAAAAAATTAAACAAAAAAAAGTATTTAATTTGAATAATTACAATTTTTAATTTTGTTTACAGGAAATGGAAAACAAATTTTTAATTTATGATCTCTTAATGATTTAGTACCTATTTAAATTGTTAAATGTATTATTAAGTTTAATAGATAAACAATATATAAAACTACACGTTTACAACTTCAAAATAAATTTTAATAATAACAATAATTATTAGTATTATATTTTAAAATCGAAGACTTGAACAAAAAATGATTGGAATAACAAGTTAAAAAGAAAAGAAACATTTAAATAAATAATACACATAATATGATTTAAAGTAGCTGTATTATTATTTTTATAATAAAATTAGATTGATTTTAAATATATTGTGATGTAGAGACGATTCACAATATATTACCAACATTTTCTTCATACTGGTAAACATATATAATATTAAAACTGATGACTATCTTTGTAAAAAAAAGAACCAAAATCAAATAATTTGATTACAATTAAAATCCCGACATACTTTTAACGAGTAGTGTAATTTACACAGTTGGTAGATTACGGTTTTAGATAGACCACTTGAATGGGTGTGTTAGAGGTGTGTTGTCGTATAAAATTTTAAAGCGGTAACCGTCACAGTCAAAATTGTTCCGTTTTTTATGATATTTTCAAAAACAGGAATTCTAATTTTTAATAAGTAGGTAGTAAGTAATGTTTTAAAGAAAAATTTACGTCTAAATATTCAATCTAATTATGTGTTATATGAACTTAAAAATATGTTAAAAAACACATAAACTATAATGAGACACGTTATACAATTAATTTTTATGCATTATAACGATAATCTAAACTTTCTAATATAAATACTAATATTCTTATATACTGTTAAATTTAAAACAACTTATAAAATTATAGTTTCCAGAAATGTAAATTGTGTGTACCCAAAATAATTGATATTTGGATCCGCTTTTATTTCTTTAATAAAACCAAAAAAAAAATCTATTGACTCCTTTACAATTTTTAATTATTAATAACATTCTATGCCTAAATAAATCTACTTAAGCATTAATTAAGAATCTAATGTTATTTACCTTTAAATTTTTAAATATTTTAATTAATTAATAATTTTTAATGCAATTTATTTCATATAGAAACAACAAAAAAAACTTTTTATTATTTATTATGATACACAAAATCCTGTATCCTGTATTTAACAAAATGTTTGACTTAAATTTATGTGGATTGATATTATTGTTTGTACATTATAAGCAAAAAACTTAATTATTGCGTATTTATTAAACCTTTAGACCAATTATTACTGTCCAACTTATGTAAAATAATTCTATAATTTATATATATATATATATAAATATTTGCACTAATTAACTATTTAATTATTTAAATAACTATTTAAATAATTAATTTGAACTAAAATCTACAACTTACATTAAAATTGTATTTTTTTATATCCTATTATTCCTCTGATGTTTAATTGTAATATTTATGAAAGATTGATTGAAATTTATTTTCTAGTTTTTATTTATATAAATGATTTAAAATATAATCTATTCAATTTATATCTTGTACATAAGTACACGTTTTGAAAATATTAAGTTTTGATATATAATTACTAAGATTTTTTGATTTTTTTATCCTAATGAAAATAATATTGCTAAATTACGAATTAAATTTAAAAATAATATAATAAACATTATCAATAAAACATAATATCAAAATGAAATAAATGTTTTTTATCTTTTAAATGAAGTTAAAAATGTTAATATTAATCAGCGTTCTACAAGTAAGGAATGACTAACAAAATTATATTTCATACTTTGTAAATGTAAATGTTTACATTTACTTAGCTCAAACTTTAAAAAGTATGAAATATAACTTAAAAAGTTATTCTTTACTTGTAGAGTGCGGATTAATATGCATTTGCATATTTATTTTTGGTTGGTCATATGATATGCTGTTAGCACCAAATTTGTTTCATGACATTATGGTTTAAACAATTAAATTTTTTTAGTATATATTTTCGCATATTTCAACATTTACTCATTTTTTTTTTTATTTTACGATTTTAACTGAATGTTTCATATCTCATATTTTAGTGCGTAGTTCAATGGTTTTTTTTTATATATATATCTGAAATATTTACTAGGTATTGTAATATAAGGGTTAAATTTTTATATGAAAAATTTATAAAATTATTATTAAAAAACAATGGCTATGGCATACTTAATAAAATATTTAAAATTTTAAATGGTGAAAGTGAATCAATTTAAACCAGAGAAGATTTATTTTAAAATAATACGATATTTTTAAATACGTACCTAGAGTATTTAGTTCTGTAGATGTGGAAAGTTCATTTTAAAGATATAAAAATTTGTTGACTAACTAACGCCGATCAATTGTTTTTGAAAATTTAGTTAAAATTATTATCTTTCAATGTAATTCCAATTTAGATAAGAAAATTTATTTTATGATAAATTTTAATATTAGTTGATTCCTGTTTTTTCTTCAACACTTCTTACAGAATGGTTTTGGTAAATTATCTCCTTAAAACGAAGAATAATGAAATTATATATTTTAAATAATTTTATTTTTTATTTATAATTTTTTTTACTAAATTTTGAGTGCATATTTTAATATATTAGTGTATACATATGTGAATACTAAGATTTTTTAACGCATATTTGGTTGGTTTTTGATGCATACAAATCTTCGCTATACTTGGTTTAACATTGAACATCTTACTATTGTCAGATAAAGTTATATACATAAATATTTATTAAAATTAATTTATAATGTTTTATATCCATTTTACTAATTATAATTTCGGAATTATGTAATATACATGATATGTTTAGTTGTTATCAGGGCCGGTGAGAGGGTGGAGCAGGGAGGGCTCATCGTCTTAGCCTTTTATACAATATTTTTATTGAACTAAAATATATATAAGTAGTATGTATATCATAGTCAAACAAGTGCAAGTAAAGGGGCCCCGGGGCCCTCAAAAGTTCTCACCGGCCCAGTATGCTATCTTTAATACCACTCCTCCTGATTTATTAAAAAAAATTTCAATAAATTAGTTTTATTTAGTTTATTTATAATAATTGATTCATTTACTCATATCAAAATTAAACTAATTATGTGATTTTATAATAAATGTATTTGATGAATACATAGTTACAATATATTTTAATAATATTTTATAGCTATAATTTAAAAAATGAATAGTAAACATTTTTATAAAACATTATGAGTATTATACAATACATTTTTACAGCTTAGTTAATTTTAAATACCACTGTTGTAGTTATATAAAATGGAATACCTTAAAATATATACAACATTTGGATGTTTTAATACAGTTAATAATTATACATTATAAAATCTTGATATTTACTTTAACTATTATTGTTATTATAAAATTAAAATATAATAATTATCATTCGAGTACAAAGGTATTTAACTTACTTAGATAGTTAATGTATTTATTTTGCTAAAAAAGAACAACAGTTGTTATGATATTATGATAATTGATTTTTTAAATTTTTGTTTTTTAAAAATTAGGTTATGTTTAAATTCATGAACAAAAAATTAATAATGGCTGTGGATTTAACACATAATTATGTTATTATCCCAAGTTATCTCTACTTTGACAATAAGATTTTTTTATGAAGATGTTTTTCCTCTTCTGTATGCGTTTTGGCACATATTCACGGCTTTCGTGGAGTACTTATATCTCAAAATAGCATTATCGAGCCATATCCGTACAGTTAATTTCAATGAAGCACAAAACTGTAGAGAAACAGCAGTGAAAGAAAGAGATGAAAGATAGAAAGAGAGGGGCGTGAGCATACACTCTCATACACACACATACAAACACATACACAGACTAATTGCTATGCGGGCTTTGATGAAACCAGACCATCCGACTTGTTCCTGTTGAGGTCTAGGTCATGACCAAGTGGCTGTTACCTACAAGTGGCCGTGGAGGAGGGGACGGAAACACGTTGTCGCCGTTTCAATATCATCATCGGACCCCTGCAAAGTTAACCAAGACGAAGAGATGGATGGATCTCATTGATCCTTTCTTCTTTCCGGCCACGAGTTCCCGATCACTAATCGTCTTGAAACCGTCGCGTCAACTTGTTCGGCCTAAATCGTTAGAACTTTTTGTGATTTCCAAATTTTTATTTTTATTTCGGCAAACATTTCAAGTTACTATTTCGTTTTAATACTTATTGTGTAAGTGTGTTGTTGTTATTAATAATAGTTGTTGGTGTTCGTGTAATCAGACTTTAAATTTAAAGGTAAGATATAAAATTATTTGATTTCAAGCAGAATATTAATATAAACCAAAAAAACAATAATAAAAAATTTATCTAATAATAATGTAATTTAATATAAATTTATATTTTTAAATTTGTATGCTTATCTATGTCGTCTGTCAATTATTTTTTATCTATATACAAGCATATCCAAATTACAAATTTTATATTATTATAAGAACCAATGAACTTAATTATCAATAAAATGTTTTAGTGACAATTTGAAAGTATATAATTCAGCTAATTCAATATATTGTAAAAACTGTTTAAGTTTTTCTGAGATAATATAATACTAATCGAATAATTAAATTTAAAGATTTTTATTTTCTATCGTTTGAACGACTACTTTAAGATTACTTACTAGTAATGATTTAAAAATATTTTGAATTATTTTAATTTAAAATTTAATATGGAATTTTAATTGCATTGATAATTTCTTAAATGTACAAGTTTTTCCGGTACAACTTTCAACGTGAATCAAACAATCATATAACATCCGTTGAATGGCTATCATATAGAGTGGGAATAACTTTGTGCAATGTCTTATTTTTCTTTAAAAACATAACTAATAGTTTTGACGTGACCTGTTTATTTTGAATGAAATATATCCCCAGGCTACTGACACTATGAATGAGCACCACCTGAGTTATCAGAATAACGATTATAATAAATAATCAGGTACTTATTCTTCAAATCTAAAAACCTGTTTACACTTGGGCAGTACGCTAATCAATTTGTTTTAAAACATTAGCTTAGCAGTTGTAGAATATGCTTATACGTTAAACTGTTAAATAGCAATTCAAGTTATAAATCAATAAACTCATAATAAATGTTATAGGTGGTGTGCTATTTTTAAAATCGTACAATTATACAAAAGCAATATTTTACTTCGTACTGTGAATAATAAACTTACAGTTAAATACAAGTTCGTACCTATTAAGCTGAAAATAATACATTCGTGTCTTTAATTTGTAACTGAAACTTTAGAATATAAATTATATATTAAACGTCATGAGAAGTCTAATTTCCATTCAGGATTTAATTTGAACATTTAAAATACATTTGTTATAAAAATCTAAACATATTTATAACGATGGCTTTAAAGCTATTATGATTTTGCATATATTTATTTCATTTGAACGTGCTTCATACTCATTAATTAATTAATTTAATAGTTTACTTTTCTCAGTTTTGCAATTTATATATTATATTATAATATTATATATTTATAAATTTATGTATAGTTAATCAAAAAATTAATAATGGTACTATTTATATCAAACAATTATTGCAGCAAAGTGAATTTATATTTCATACATTTGGAAACACTTGATTCAAAATTGTTATTGCTTAAACGGGATATACCGATTGATGTAGAACTCTGTGAAAAAAAAATTAATAATATCAATTAAAATAATAGAATTTTTCGTTCAAAACTACATAAAACAATAATATTCTGTACGTAAATATATATATTATAGTAATGGGTTGGTTTGGAGTATGTAGAACGAATAGAGGCGCACCGGCATGATTCAACAGTTAATGACTATATAATTGTGTGTTTAAAAGTTTGATAGGAATTTAAAATTATCCAGTGAACACATATTGTTGTTCATCGAGTCGAACGGCAATAATCAAGTTGGAACTAATAAGTCCAATTACGTTTTTACCTGGAGCCTTCTGTTTTCTAACTCCGAGCTGAATAAAACGATACGCATCTTTGACCATTAGACCCTTTTAGAAACAACCAGACCTAAACAAATAATAAATTTACCTATTTATCACGTTAAGAGTGAAAACGTAAAAAATATGAACGCGCATAATGGTGTACGTCTGATAATGTCGCTACCAAACTTTTTGTAGGGGAAACGGGAAGTAGGGGGTTTGAATAGGGATGCTGATGTGGAGAAAAATAGAAAGCTGTAAAACTCGAAAGACAATAAGTGTTGAACAAAAACCAATTGCCAGCCTAATCAGACGATATTACATATGCACGGTCACGTAAACAGGAGGATAAGTAAAATATGGGATGGACAATAGGTAGTCTCGTTTCATACGATTAAGTCAGCGCTGCACTATTAGCAATGGAAAGTGTATAAAAGCGTTGCAGTATACGACAACGAGTCTGTCAAAAAACCAATAACCAAGAACATGAATGATAATAATAAGAATAATAATACTAATAATAATAATAATAATAATAATAATAATAATAATAATAATAATAATAATCAATGCACTAAACTACTAAAGATAGTCGGGGAAGTGCATTATTCGCGATATGAATGTGGCCCCAATTGGACGTTATTCAAATGCGCGGAGTGAGTCGCGTGCATAAATCAAGCACCTATTGTTAGTATTTGTTTTCATTTCGTAATATGGAAATATGAGTGATAAAAAATGATCAAAACAAAACAAGTGCCATCGAACAAATTGAGCGATATTTTTTGGCACCGGTTTCGCAGTACATCTGGTAAATATTTGCATAATTAGGCGATATCGGGTCATTTGAATTGGGTTACAAAACTCGGCATTGTACTTCCCATTGGACATGCGGACACGGATATTATTAGTAAAAGTGGTGACGATTTGTATAACATCGTTAATTTTACATCGTTCGACCCAACATCCCATTGAACGGCTTTGTATATTTTTCGATATGCAATTTTTGTGGGTCATTTGAAGAAAGGGGGTTAATAAATCGATCGAAAATTTGACCCAGAAAACCTACAGGGAGCACCTGGCGCTTGGGCTCATGTGCTGACCAACCAAATGATCAATAATTTGCATCCACCGATTTTTACCATGTTATTATCGTGCGAACCACTCGATTGGCAAAGAAAAGAGAATCAGCGGTGGCCGTGTGTATTATAATGGGTTCCGTAGAAACAAAACGTGATCGACTATTGAAAATCACGTTCACTGATCGCCGCCGGGAACGGGTGAGCGGGCAGCAGCCCAGGCTTAACAGCTGCCGGCGTTTTCTCTCGGGTGCTTGACCTAAACGTATAATATATTACCATAAAAATGTTCGACATACATAATTTAGTAGTAGCAGTATAGTAACCTAGCCGGGAGAGAGACCATAAGACTTTTATCCAATTTTTTTTTTTTTTTTTTTTTTAAGAACAACACTGACCCACTCACCGGCATATTATATCTGGCTTAAAACCGGATTTCGGAAGTTGAGCGCATTCATTCTTAATTATTATCGAATTATGAAACGCGTTTCTTCTCTCTCCGTTGCAGCGGTCTAAATAATTTGTTTTATATCCTTGTGGTTAAATTATTGTGAATTTCAGACACAAAGTTCGCGAGATATTTCACACAGCCAATGATTTTGAAAGTTTACCCACTACCATACCGTGATATAATTTGAGAAAGTTTATAGTGCATATTTTTTCATTTTTTTTCTCGATTCATTAATTTATCAAACATAACTTATATGGTCATTTATTTTTTTATTTACTATCAGAGACAAACCTCGTGTGTGTGTGTGTGTGTGTGTGTGTGTGTGTGTGTGTGATGTGTATGCTTTATTATATCGGTGAACAGCATCATTGTTGACGATCACGTAGTAGTACCTAGTAAAAACAGACAATTTACACACATATATGTCCGAGTATGTCACTAGTGTTTCTCCAGGTTTCCCGGTGAACAGGATGTGCCGCCGTGGAACGCGGAGACGAGCTCGAAAACCGGAATCATCTGTCTGATGTTTTTTTTTTCTTTATCTATCTACGGAAGACGAACCGCACAAAAGTAGGCAGTCGAGATTGGAAGGACATTTTTTTTCCAAGCCCAAAGCGGTCAAACAACCTGTAGGCAGACAGTACATGGTCCATATCACACTGTACACAGCATGTTCAATGACTTCGCGACCTTTTCGAACGACAATTTTTAAAACCGATTTCACATTCTATAACTTTCCCCTTCGGTTCTACCCGATAACGGGGTGATGTTGATAAAATAACGAAGCCAAACTAATTCACACGTTTAATATTTTATGTTTAAAGATCATTCGAAATCAGACACGAACAATGATCCTGAGACTGTCGCTGATATTTTGCTTGCTGGCATGCAACGTAAGTATAACTTTATTATTATAAATACAATAACACATTATATTTTTGACATAAAACGTTCAAAATTATAATATGACAATAATAAATTAAAAAGTACAATATTATGTGCACGACACTGTCATTAATACCATTGGTCTATTTAATTGATATGGGGCACGGTAACGTAGTTATAGACAATACCGTATTACACTTACATACTCGCTTTGCAGAATACATATATACACACACACTGTATAGATACTGCGCAGTCGTCGACTCGTTATGGTTATGAAACCTTTGTACCGTTAAGCATGTCCCGGTATCATTTACGCGTGTATGAACAATAAACATTTTCTCGTATTCATTTAATTAATTTTGACACCGCTCAGTGCGCGGCCGAAAAAAAAACGATTTCATTTATTTTCATACGATACGATCCTGTACTGTTTAAATTTGTGAATTATATTAAACTAATTACTGTATAGAGGTTAAGTTAAATTAGTTAGTCTACATTATCTAAACGACTAGAGAGTATTATGTGCTTTTACATATACGGTTTTTTGCTTTACATACGAGTAGGCCGTACTTACAACAGTGGGTGTACGTTTTTCCAGCGGATATTTTTTTTGACATTCCACCCAGAAGAATATTTTCATATTTCACTTTGCCGAAATAGCCGAGCAAATACTCGTGCGGTACAAGTGTAGAGATTTCGATGCAGAGCATACATACAATATCATGTTCATGCAGACTTTCACCGTTTTTTTCTCGCCCCTTATGTTGAAAATAGATCGTCCGCGATGTAGGAGGTCTGGGCTGAACCGTTCGCGAGCAAGATTAGTAACGGGTCAGGTTACTAAATGCTCATTTCAAGCGTACACGTTGAATAATATGCGTATAACATGCTATTATTTAATTTTTTAAAACTCGATCTTACAATACATGTATGTCGAAATACGTCCGAATAAATTGGATAAAACGCTGAATTGATTTCTCTCAACGCTTTTTATGCACACTAAATGTGCACCAATGGCGTAATTACGGAGTGCAGAACTCACCCACTATAGTCCAAATTTAATTTTTCATCCTTTCAAATCTATTATTTTAATTTGAAAAAACACACGATCACACATCGAAATCGTCTTAGACACTTGGAAATACGTACAATATTGTTACGCAAATAATATGTGATTTTCCCCCCGTAATTTTGCATATAATATGCCGTTATTCACCGTGTACTAGTGTGCGGATATTGGCGTGTAAAAACTGTAAGCTTTCACCGTAAGGCCTCGCGGTTTTCCGGTCAACTGCAGTACTCACAAAATACTCGAACAAAAGCTGATACTCGCATAATTACTCCTATAATAATATACATCGTATCCATACGTTGTTCGCTAGTCCTATACGACTCGTGTACTTGGCGAACATCATAATCGCGTAAAGACTTGACGACTATTTCAATCCTACACGACTTGTACACTTGCCGATCCGATCAATGAGCGCAATTATTTATTACTCCTTTCACTCGTCAAATTTACCAATGGGAAACGACGAGTGACTCGGTGAGTAAAAATAATCGCCATACTGGACGAATGAACACGTCGTGTAGGAGACGACTCGTAAAGCATTGCGACTGACGATCATTCGCCGAGTGTACACCAGTCTTACGGAACTGGCTTTATATTTTGATTCTTGAAAATGTTTTCACGCCGTTTTCGGTTTTTTTTCTCTTTCTCTCTCTTTCTCGATTGCGTGGCACGCGCAGTTGGCCGAAGAAGTTGACGTCGTCGAAGCCGTGTCCGGGACATCGCAGTCGATCGACGACTTGTTGCAGTCCGACCAACAGCACGTGCAGTCGTCGGCACAGAAGCGCGAGGACGTGGAGACGCACAACCCCGACCAGCTAGCCATGGAGACCGGCGACGACATTGACGACCAGGACACGTCCGGTTCCATAGCTAAGCACAACTACTTGAAACCACAGTCCGCGCCGATCCGCGGCCACTTGCCACTGAACCGTGGACCACCGCCGCCGCAACAGCCACAGCAGCAACAGCAACAGCAACAGCCGTCCGGTAAATACCATCACAACGTGGGATACCTGGGACCGCCGCCACCACCGCCGTCACAGCAACAGCAGCAACAGCAACAGCAACAGCAACAGCAGCAGCTGCAAGCGGCCCAGCAATCGGAGGCCATGGATAAGGTGTACTCGGCCGGTCCGGTGGGCAACGCGCTAGGAGACCCGTGGCCGAACAGCGCGTCCGCCGACATGCCCAAGATCGTGTCGCTGGACGTCAAATGCGAGAAGAACTCGATGAAGGTGTTCCTGAGCTTCGACAAACCGTTTTACGGGATAGTGTTCAGCAAGGGCCACTATAGCAACGGTAACTGCGTGCACCTGCCCGCCGGCCTGGGCAGGTCGTCCGTCAACTTCGAAATCAGCATACACGCGTGCGGCACGTCCGGCAACACGGAGAACGGGCTGTACGGCTACGGCGCCGACTCCGGGTCCGGCACATACTTCGAGAACATCATCGTCATCCAGTACGACCCGCAGGTGCAAGAGGTCTGGGACCAGGCCAGGAAACTCAGGTGCACGTGGCACGACCAGTACGAAAAGTCCGTCACCTTCCGGCCGTTCCCGGTCGACATGTTGGACGTGGTCAGGGCCGATTTCGCCGGAGACAACGTCGGATGCTGGATGCAAATACAAGTAATATTCGTTTTGTTTTTTACCTACGCTACTTTGTATTGCCTATTATATTAACTATTGAACAATACGATCTATTATACAATTATGGTAACCAAATATTTGAAGAACAGCCCATATATATATATAACCTATATAGCTACAAATTTAAAAACCTTTATTTTTTCTTTTGGAAGGTAAAATATTTCAAACGTTTTCAAATTACTGACAATTCAAAATATATTTAATTTACAGTTAATTTCAACATTTTCATAAGCAACCTAATGACTGACTTGTACCGTTTTTGATCGAAATAAATACGTAGGGAAAAATTAACGGATTTATATAAAATTTTTAAAAATAAGTACATTATTATATCCTTGAACTAAATACTACTAAGGATAACAGAAATTGTTCTAAAAAAAAAATTACTGCCCTTAAAAATAAGTGCCTCCCGGTCACCATAGCTATATATACCTATATATACTTCCGACTGTACGTGATTTTTTATATGAACGCAAAAAGATTAGCATGTAAACATATATATCATGGAATGTTGCCAGAATCCAAATCTAATGTATTATTTTTGTTTATTGATCATCGGCAACTGAGCTCGATATTTTTCAACAAATTATATACGCAGATCAAATCGCAATTTTTGATACATTTTCATAATGATACCTAATATATATTCATAATATCGAATGTTAAAATCGTATACGTCATCACACTATACAAAACTATACATATACACTCTTAGAGCATAAATAAACATACACTTATTACAAATAACCGCAAACGTTACGTTTATAATTTATATTAAAATTAGCCGTCAAGCGATAGCGTTTGTCTCCTTCCGTTCCTATGTTAATTTTAGCACAATATTCACTATGATCTATATTTATATATATATTTTAGTTTAGTATTTATTCTGCTGCATATATACGTAACCGGTCATTTTTTTAACTACTATTAAAAACCCTAATTATATGTATATTAAGCGGCGAACGAATATACATTATAGATTTTTAAAAATCAATATCATATTTTAACATACAAAAGAACGTTTCCTTAAATATTGTTATGCTTTAGGACAATGCGTTATCGACACACTACTTGTATACAGCCGTATATCTAAGGAGGTTGAAGGAACCGCATTCTCCTCAACATTTTAGGAAGTCTTAAATAACTAAATTACTGATTTTTCGTTCGTTATGGCTTTATTCCTTTTTTTTTTATATATACTATATGTATAACTGATGTACCACACGAAAAAAATTTATTGGCCACGCCACTAGTTATATATACATTTATGTTATACGTCCGGACATAAACTTTACAATCGTGTATTTTTTTGGATTTTTTGGATTCTTTGTATTAATTTTTTAATTTTTTCGTTTCCTCCACGCATAAGGTCGGCAAAGGACCATGGGCTTCCGAAGTTTCCGGATTGGTAAAGATTGGACAAACAATGACCATGGTGTTGGCGATCAAAGACGACGACTCGAAGTTCGACATGCTCGTGCGAAACTGCATGGCTCACGACGGTAAACGCGCTCCCATCCAGCTGGTGGACCAAAAGGGTTGCGTGACCCGTGGCAAGCTCATGTCACGGTTCACGAAGATCAAGAACTTCGGTGCGAGCGCGTCCGTGCTGTCGTACGCGCACTTCCAGGCGTTCAAGTTCCCGGATTCGATGGAAGTGCACTTCCAGTGCACCATACAGATCTGCCGGTACCAATGCCCAGACCAGTGTTCCGACTCGAACGCCATACTGAACGCGCAGCATGGCAACCTGCTGTCCGCGCACCACCCGGCCATCCACAGCTCCGAGTACGGGCCACCACCCGCGCCGCTGGACGTGTACGCGAGGGTCGGTTCGGCGCATCCGCGGGACGAGAGGCGCGTTAGGCAACGGCTACAAAGGAGATCGGCCCCCGTGGACGAGGAAGAGGTGGGCGTGAACCGCATCATCAAGGTGGTGTCTACTGGCGACCTAACGTTCGCGCTGGACGACTCCAGCAACTCCACCACCATGGTGTTCCCCACCCGGACCGTCGAGCCATCGTCCATGATCTGCATGACCACGGTCGGCTTCTCCGCCACGCTGTTCGTGTTGCTGGCCATCCTGCTCGTCTCGTGCCTGGTGTCCGCGTATCTTTGCTTGCGCATCAGGTCCATGCCACAGCGCCGGAAAAACGCTCAGGTCGCTTGCACCAACCCCAAGCTGCAGCAGGTGGCCGCCACGCACAAGGCCAAGATCATGCACCAGGTGTTCACGTGAATGAGACGGGATAACGGCCACACGCATCCGTATACAGCGAGAGCAGAGAAAATACCGCAAAACGAAAAGAAAAAAGAAAACTTTCCTTCTGTTCCCTTCCCCCAAAAACCCCAGACACCCGCCAGCGCACAGCTAACGCCATAATTAAACCAAAGCCCTTGAAATTACAGTACGCATATTTATTATTATTATTATTATTATTATTTATTATTAATATTATTATTATGATTATTGATGTAATATTTACTATATTATACTATTGTGTACTAATGACCCCTAACTTCTTTGCACGTAAATCACGTATGTTTTTCGTTCATCGATCGTGGTTCCTTCGACGCTTTGATTTCTTTTTTTTTCGTCCGATAGTATTTTAATACTATATGATATACATTATTATTATTTTTTTTTTTTATATGCATGGTAGGTCGCATAGAAAATATAATATTATATATATATACATTTTTTTTCGATCGTAATTGACACCCGGGGGAACGTATAACCTTACAAGCCGCCACGTCATCGAAACGCGTCCGTTTGACGCGATCATACTTTTCCGGTGGCGCAGACGTCCCGTTATTATATTATATTGAGTACGTTATAAAATAATACTATTTTTTCTACCCATTCATTAACACCGCGTGTCGATCAATGCATGAAATACGCAACCGTTTTTCGGAAACATAAACTTTTCATCGTCGAGCAAGTAAATGTTTTTTTAACCACGAAAACGTCTCCTATGTTCGTTTACGGTGTTTACGATATCACATTTATGTCGTTTACGTTTTTAAGATTACTTTCATTTTGTGTATACAAACAGTGCCAAACAATAACGGATGAGCCATATATTATAAATTATAATATCCGTAGTTGTATTCAATGAAATTATAATTATTATTGTTATTATTGTTTAACTCAATTAACGCGGTTATAAATCATAAACGTGCAGTACAGGAGGTTTCGTTTACCGCAGTACCCGCGACGCGTGAAATCCCGTTAATCCAATCTTGTTTATCCGCAATTTCAATCGTACAACAATATTATACAAATTACGACGGTTTTCACTTGGAAAAATTAAATATAATTACCGCGACGATAATGCCGTTTCCATACGGTCGTACAAGTACCCACCGCTAGCCTGTGTTTTTTAATTTTTTTTGTAGGATATGTCTGTTTTCAAAGTTTAAACCATACACGACGGGTCATCCGCAACTAGAATGAATATTGTTTATCCAAAACTCGACCAACGATTTCGCATGTTTAGATAGAGGAGATTACATTTGATATTCTGCACACATCATTGTGCTGAATCTGTATTCATTTATACACAATACAATAGTACATATTAAATATTACGTTTTAATACTTAGTTAACAAATACATTAGAGAACATAATATAAATCCGTTAAATTTCAGAAAACAAGCCATAATATATGTTATTTATTTTTACAAATATCGTACGATCATATTTTATTGATGGTATATATTATAATATAGGTACTCGAATAATATTACGTTGTGTTTATAATATTAGTTAATTTAGTTGTTATTATACATATACTGATGCCTAATTAGTTTTTAACGAGGCATTTACAACAACTTTTGTGCGTTTGCTATTTATGCCATAGATTTTAAGAACAAATAGTTAAAATAACAATAAAAAACAATCCGTAATGTTCGCCCCGTGGTCTTGAAAGTATATATATACGTAAAACGATAGTATAATTCAACCAGTACAAAAACTATAAAATTAGCACATGCACATTAGTTGTTGATTATGAGATATATGCATGTATATATTGTATAAGTGACTTATACATACACATATACGTACATATACCTACAAGTGTATACTTAATTAATTAATAGTAATATTTGTTTATTAAGCTTATGTTTTTACTACGAAAATGTGATTTCATTGTCAAACAAATAGTTTTATTATTTTTTACCCGTAATTTATTATTCCATTGCGGTTTATTGTAATACGTTGAATATTATAATATTGTTGTAACGTAGACACGTGATGATGGACTCGTGTTTATTATTTATTTATTTATTTATTATTATATATATTTTTTTTTTTTATGTCCTAGGAATATTAAATTATTTATATTATATTATTTTGTAGTTATTAAATATTTATTTGAAAACAAAAATCAACAATCAATGGTAATAATAATTTTACAAAACAAATTCTTTAGGACTGAAATGAATAAATGTGCGATTTAAAAAAAAAAAAGAATCCTAAGAAATTATTTAATAATAATAGTTGTTGTGCGGCGGCGGCGGCGCGAGTTGGTCTACGGTATTAATTGGTTCTATATCGAGTACAACAACAACAACAACAACAACAACAACAATAATGACGACGACGATAATCGTATACGCATAGTAAATCGCCGCCGTCGGCCTTTTGATTCGACAGCGGCCAGAAGGGGCAGATAATATAGGTTTACGCGCGCGCGCGTGTGTGTGTGTAGTAAATCACCGCGGCGGCTATCTTGAAAAATGCGGACGTTGATTCGTACGAGCCTCTCGTGTGCGGACGGACGTATGACGGATACGTGTGTACAACACACGCGCACACACGAACACACATAAAATACCAACAGGTCGATCGGCCACCGGCAAAACCAGTCTCCCGCGGGAAGTAGGTGAATGGCACACTTTCAACGCGCACGTGTGTACGTGTGTCTACGAGATTAGGTCTGCAAGTGGAAAATAAATAAAAATCGTATTTGGAAATCTCGACTGAAGTTTCATTTCCTTGTATTATTGATATTGATTCGATGTTTCGAAAGCACAACGGTTGGTATGCGATCGACCGAAACCGAACGAGCGCGACACTGTGTCGGTTTAACAACGTGTACCTTTTCATATCTGACGCGCCCGGGCCTGAATTCGCGCGCGCTCCGGCGCGCTTTGTGCCGTGCAATAGGTACACTGTGTACCGCGACATTTACAAGTGCGCGATCAAATCTCGTTCGTTGAGTTACGTACGTAAACGGGTGCTGTTGAACAGAATCGGTTAAGAATAAATATTTTGAAAAATTCGCGTCATTTCAACGATCCGTTTAAATTCATTTTCAGGAGAAATACTCTTATCTTTGACTGCGGAGTACAATAATCATTACTTTCGAATTAAGCGTGTTGTGCAAAAAATAGGTCTTGGCATTTTAGCGATTTGTTTTTATTGAACACAAGGTCCGCTCGTCCGTACCTACACGTATTTGTGTACAACACTATCGCTAATGATTCGACCGGAATAAGTTTGAGTTCATGTTTGGATACCGCCGGGAATTGTCTATAGATATAACGCGTAAATACGTGCGCGTGAATTGGAAACACACGCTCGTGCGTCAATGTCGAGTATACTCACCAACGGGATCGAAAAAAATAAAAAAAGCCAATCCGTCGCCCGGAGGGAATCCTTCGATCAGCGCAGCCCGAGGAGGTGGATCATCAATTCGTACACAACCGATGTTAATACTCTGTTACCGTATGTATTATAATTACCGATGATTTTTTCGATCGAGACGAATATACTAACCGTTATTACCGGTTAAGACGTGAATATTAATGTGCGTACTAATATATGGGGTGCGACGCGTGGACGATCCACTTGCACGTGACACACGAAGTAATATAGAACATGCATTAGCGTGCACTTATGCCGACGGATAATTTCATTTATTTATTGTCCCTCATGATGTACGGGATCGTTATAGAGAATAGTTTCTTGTGGCCTCGGCGATAATTATATCACAGATCCCGCATACCGCGAGAGATCCGCCCCTATCCTCGGAGCAAACGATTATTACAATATTTTGTTGTTCAATCGCAGAAAAAAAATAAAATAAAAAATTGATGTACACCGATGCACGATAATAATTAGGGCTGTGAATTTAATGCATTAAAAAACCTTAAAAAATGCAATAAAATATGCACTTAAAATGCAAAAAAATGCAATATAAAACGCCAACAATTATAGTATAAAACTCATTTAAAATGGTTTTTAATTTAATTTTTATATTTATATTAATATTAGGTACAGGTATTAGGTACATGTATTATACATTAGTACATTACACGCATAAAAAAGTGTTTATTTAATAAAAAAAAATAATAATAAAAATGTTGATTGATATTTTCTATACTAAGGCTATTCACCTGAAACATTTTTTAACATTTTTTTTAAATATTTATTTTGTTAAAATAAAAAAACAAACTTATATATATATGAATGAAAATGAACTAAAAAAAAGGAAAATATGACCTTAAAAATGCATAAAAATTAACTTAAAAAATTAAAAACGCAAAATATAAGTTGCATAAATGGATTCGTAGTTGCACAAATTTCAAATTATGTGTTTACAAAGCTGCGTTTTACAACCACCAAAAAAAAAAAAAACAACACTTTCCTACAAATTCACATCCCTAGTAATAATATACCAATAGTGTTTATTATGACTTGCGCCGGGTAAGCTCGTGTTGCGTTGCGAACGCGTCCGCATACAACACACGCCCGTCAAACGAGCCGACGACGCCACGAGATACTTCTCGCCCGAGTGTACGTGCAACGCGTGTTTGCTACGGGAGACCGCGGGGACCTGTTGCATGTTGTGCTTACACCGTCGCACGTGTACACGCATACGGCTGCAAAGCAACTGCAATGTTTTTAATGCGTTTTGGCACCGGTGTGTCGTGGTCAAGGCCGTACTTAGAAATTTTTTTCGGGGGAGGTTCCAAAACATGTATATTGTAATTTTATTGAATTTAGATTTTAACTTTTGATATTTGGTTAAAAATAAGAAAGAAAGAGATTTAATCTTCTATTATTAAAATTAATATCATATTTTCATATAGATATTATGATATAAAACTAAAAGCAGTCAATGGTTAATTGGAGCGTAAGTCATTTTTGACTGAAAATATTTATATTGGTATTAAAAATAAATAATTATTTTAATCATTCGTAAAATATAGAAGAAATTTGGGGGGGGGGGGGTCCAGACATCCTGGATCCCTCCAGATACGGCCTTGATCGTGGTGTAGCAACAACGTCGTTTCCGGAAAAGGCTGTTCGGGCACGTTTACGATAATAATATCGTGCGACATTGGACATTGACTTATATACTTGGTCGCGAAAAAAGTTATAGAAATAACTTTCAAGTGCAATCGTGTGAACAACGATGAAACATAAAAAATGCTACTGTTCTAAGTATGTGGATGTGATTTTTTTCTTTCCGCATTTAAATGTCTACAGATTCGTCTTAGAAATAGTATACTAGTAATACCGATTTTTAGTAATAAAAATTAATATACAACGAGAAAAATGCAGTTTAAAAAGTAACTTCAAACTAACAGTTCAAGTAAAAATTATGAGTTACTGGCGATCTAACTATTCCTTATACCTAGTATTTCGTACAATAATTTGTCCCGCTTATACGATGTAAAATGTAATAATATGAACGTATCGAAGAAGATCTTCTGGTTAAATCGCGTGAACGTACAGTTACATTATACATTAATACTAATCAAAACCGGTGAATATGATTTATGACGATCATACTCATAAGTTATAACTGAATTTATACTTCTGTGGCGTTCGTTAGTCGACCAAACACTTTCACCGGCCACCTTTACGCAAACGGTTCTGAAACAATCAACTTTATGATAAATCATCGTGTTGTGCACTTATCCGATATGCATTTCATTCACAATCGTACACATTACTTTACTCTTATAATATATATATATACATCCGTACAATAAATAATATCAAATAAACGCCACTGTTGTGTTAAATCGGTGTATACCGGCCATACGGTACACGCGCAGTAAAATTGTGTACATCGTATTCACATTGTGATCATAATCGTTCACAAATCGAAAGCCAACGGAATGAAATATCATCGACGTTCGATCATTGTTGTTATCCGGGATAAAGACTTCGGTTATACTCATTACAAACCAATATATGAATGGAAAATAAATAATTATATACTTGATCCCACAATCAATTCGTCATTTTAATTCGATTATACGGGGAGACGCTTTATTAAATATAATTCTACTATACTTATATTCAAACATTAGAAATATCATAAACAGTACCATATTATACATACACTTGTTTTATATATTGTTCACGGTCATTGCACAATATGTAACCGAAATACACATTGCAACTTCCAATAGATAAAAATAAGTACGTACTAATAATGAAAAGCACATAATTATAATTGTAGTTTTATAAACTTTTAAATTTTTTTATATTTTTTACTACATGATTCATTGTAATATTAATTACAATATATAACTTAAGTTTTTCCGAGATGGGTTGATACGATTGAGAATTTATATGAGGGCTGTTGGTATGTGAATAGGTGATGAAGAAAATCGAGTAGAAGTATAGGACAAGGGTGTCTGACCCT